CGGCAAATATTGAAAAATGAGCCCGGGTAAAGCTATTGAAATTCCAAACAGTGCAAGAACTTACACCGCAACAGAACGGAAATAGACTCAAAAGAGCTAAAGAGTTGCTTCGCTTGGCCGAAAGTGGTGAACGGCCGAATTTGATTTTCTCCGCTCCGATGAGAAAACATTCATTGTCCGGCAGTTTGTTCGTTGTCCAGCAAAAAAATGGCATTCTAGAACCTATAGTAAAATTTTATGAAAAATAATTTTGTGGAATATTTTGACTTGCAAAGGTCCCATTAAAAGCAAATTTTTAACCTAATCTTAAAAAGGGCCATAAAGACCCCTTTCTTGACTCGCTCAAGGGTTAACATTTTCAACCAGAATTTTCTTCGTATTTTTTTCTGCAATATTGCCGACGACACTGTATACCTAGAATGCATGGTTTATAAGGAATCTTAATCCGAAAAGCCTATGATGGCGTATACGTTATGCCAGTATTTATACGTTACGGTATTTCTCCTTATCGTTTCTCACTCATCTCTCAGAACGTTGTTTTTAAAAAAAATATGTATATTCCATAATTAAAACGATTTGTTTTCGATGAATTTTCACGCCTTAATGGCTTATTTTCCATGGCATTTGCAATGTCTCGTAAAAGTAACAAATTAATAACAAATGGATGTTAATCAATAAAATTGTTGAAAAATGTCACAATTAGTCTTATCTTTTTTTTATTCAATATAATTGTGTGCTTGTTGCTGTTGTTGTAGCTGCTTTCAGCAGCAATTGTGTCAGATTTGTTTTCAATTTAAGCTGGTGGAACATCAACAGTCTCGTCAACAGAAGACAAAAAATAAATGATTTCCGTCCATGCCATTCCCCCTGCCATGCCATGTCATGGCAATCGCTGCTGCCGAGGATATAAAAACCACGACACGCGCTCTCATAAATAAATTTGCTCATAATGCAGCTATTATTTGGCGTGTTTGTTTTTGTTATTGATTGGCCATGTGGAATGTGTAAATATTTCATTTCAATCCATTCAATGCGTTTAACATAGTTTTAAGGCGAAAAAACACAGATTTTTGTTTAAAATTTAATATTAAAATGTTGGAAGGGAAAAAAACGACATGCCATCAAAATTATTATTTTTTAATTCCATTATTTACTTTATATTTTTTTATTGGTATTTGAATATTGTCCAGGTCACAAGCCAATCTGTGGAGCAATTTTTATATTCTCAGTCATATGGCTAGTTATACCCTCAGCCATATGGCTAGTGTGGGTATATACCATTTGATACTGCCAAAATTTGCCTCATCGAAATTTCGGTTTTAAACCCAGGGTCTCTTTGGACCAAATCTGTTTCAGGACATTTGGAGTCGAAGTAGCAATGTTTGTCCGTCCATCTGTGCGTCTGGCTGGTTGGCTGGCTGAAGAGTACGACAACTCTTGAAGGGAGTATCGGATTTAATCCAAACTTTGTACATCGTAATCTGATTGTCAAACTTAGATCGAATTCGGAAATGGGCAATATCGGGTACCTCCCCCACAAAATGTCAAAAATTTCAAAGAAAACAATTTACTAAACAAAAAGAGAAAGAATAATCCAATTTTGCTCCAATTTAGCTAATCCTAATATTTGCATCAGTGCTAGGTTAGGTACGAAAATGGACAATATCGGTCCACACCATCAAGTATCTCTCCACAAAGGCACAAATTTTTTTTAAATAATTATAACTCTTATAAAATGTGATGGACGAGTCCGATTGTCTTCAAATGACAGACATCACAACATTTTTATTAACCTAAGGTCTGGTGTGAAGATGGAATATATCGGTTCACTCCTTCAATGAGTGAATCAAAAAAATGAATATCCATGAAGCTCACAAAATGCGAAATTAGCATCCAATTACATTCAGAATTGGAACATCTCAGTATTTCTATTAACAGAAGATCTCTTATGAAAATGGTAAAGATCCGACCATTTCTTCTGATACCTCCAAGGTCAAGGTTTTGAATAATCAAAACGATCATAAAATCCGAAATAAGCATGCGGTTCTCTTCATATTTCACACATCCCATTATTTCTACTGACTCAAGATCTGCTGTGAAGATGGGATACACAGGGTGAAGTGAAAAAGTCAAGTTCAGACTGCTGTCATTTAAAAGCCACTCGTCCGACAGCTGTTAAAATTATTCCAGTGACAGCTCATTATATTATTTACAAGCGTACAAAAGCATTTTGGTGAGAATTTTTTAGAAAAAAAGTTATTCGTGATGGAATCCGAGCGTAATAGTGTGATTTCTTTATATTTGGCTGGAGAACCACAAGTGGCTATCGTTAGAGCACTCCAGCATTTTAATGTGAATAATTCTTTTGTGTCTCGTGATATCGCTCGTTATCGTGATACGTTACGACGTCAAGGAAGTGGACGGAAGAAAACAGCAACATCAGCAGATATGGTTTGAAAAGTAAAGAAGCGACTTGATCGAAACGCGCATCGCAGTGGCCGAAAAATGGCTAGTGAGCTGAACATATCGCAATATTCCATTCGGCAAATATTGAAAAATGAGCTCGGGGTAAAGCCACAGAAATTGCAAAAACTGCAAGAACTTACACCGCAACAGAAAGAAAATAGACTCAAAAGAGCTAAAGAGTTGCTTCGCTTGGCCGAAAGTGATGAACTGCCAAATTTGGTTTCCTCCGATGAGAAAACATTCGTTATCCAGCAAACAAAATGATCGGGTTTACTTGCCAAAGAGGTCAGCTTAAAACGTGCACCTTCGGTTGGCCACTAGAACTCAAGCGCCGGCCATGGTGATGGTGTGGGCCGCTATAACAGCCGATGGTCGCTCTCCGCTCGTATTAATCGACCATGGCATCAGAATAAATGCCGAATATTATCGCGAAAATATTCTGGAGGGTGTATCAAAGCCTTGGGCACGCATACATTTTGGCCGCAGACCTTGGACATTCCAACAGTATTCAGCACAATCGCACTAAGCTCGCGCCACCCAAGAATGGCTACAAAATGAGGTTCTTCTCTTCATTTCCAGCGCACAATGGGCACCAAAATCTCCGGATACCAATCCGTTGGACTATTGTGTATGGAGTATTTTGGAAAGCAAGATTGGCACTAAAAAATACCAAAGTGTCGATCACTTCAAGCAAGCGCTTCGCCCGGAATGGGCCAAAATACCACAGAGCAACATTCAGGCAACGTGTGATGCTCGCCCGAATTATAACTTTAATAAAATGTTATTTAAGGTCCGATTGTCTCCGAATTACACACTTTACAACATTTTTATTAACCCAAGGACTGGTGTGAAGATGGAATAAATCGATCCACTCCCACTGGTACCTCCACCACAACAGTTCAACATTTTAAACCATCATGATGCTCATGAAACACAATATTAACATCCCATTCCATTCAAACACTTGGCACATCTCAAAATTTCTATAAACAAACGATCTGTTATAAAGATGGTAGAGATCGCACCATTCCTTCTGGTGCCTTCCACACAAAGGGTCAAAGTTTTGAATAACCGAAACGATCATAAAATCCGAAATAAGCATCCGGCTCTCTTCCAATTACACAAATCTCAATATTTTTATAAACCCAAGATCTGGTTATAAGATGGAATATATTGCTTCACTCCTTCTGGTACGTCCCCCAAAAAGAGTCTAAATTTTGAATATTCATGAAGCACGAAATTAACACCCGATTCCATTCCAGATTTGGTACATCTCAATATTTCCATCAACACAAGATCGGTTATAAAGATGGTAGATATCGGAAAATTTCTTTGGTACCTCTCCCACATAGAATAAAGATTTTGAAAAACAAAACGCTCACAGAAATCGAAATAAGCATCTTCACATTTCACACATCCATACATTTTTGCTAACACAAGATCTGTTGTGAAGATGATATATATATCTGCGAACCCCTACTGGTACCTAACCCACAAATAGTCAGAATTGTCAATACTTTTAACTGTCATGACTTGTGATTCTTTACAAATTGCTATATCTAAATATTTCTCTCTACCAGATACCGGAGATGAATATGGAATTTATGATTTCGCACAAAATTGGAAATAAATGTTCGATTTTCTTGTAATTTTGCCCATACCAATATTTTTATCTGCATTGGCTGAAGCATGAAAATGGAATACCTCGGCCGATTATATCTGGTAAATCACGCATATTTCCACATTTTCCAAAAATGTCCACATATCTCATATAAATTATAGGAAGTAAACGATATATTCCAAATATGGCACGTTGTAATATTTAAATCAGACTTAGGAACCTCCCTCATAAAGGGTAATATTTAAATCAGACTTAGGAACCTCCTTCATAAAGGGTCAACAGTTAAAATAATCATAACTCAAGGCTGGGGGTATACATCTGTCGGTCAAACCGACTTATACAATTTAACTTGTTTCCCAATGATAGATCAAAAACAATGTGTTAGCTTTGAATATCCAATGGTACTCTTCATGTCATCGTTTCATGTCAAAGACTACAAAATCCCCCTTGCGGAGTATACGTTTCGCCATAAAGTATACGCCACTGTGTTCTATCTAATCAAAGCATTTCCCTCACTGTTGACTAATTTAAAATTATTAACAATTTGTCCCACGATATTTCCCAGAATAGATTATCCATTTTAGTGCCGTCAGAAATCGCTTAACAGGTGGTTTATTAAATAACAGCCCGCAACGAAGACAATGTCAAAGGACATTACCTTTGGCAGATACTTGTGAAGTTTTTTTGATTTTATTGCCTAACCGCAGAATTGCTGACATCAAATATTAAAACTACAAAACGGCAAAAATGGCGGAAACCACAAAGTATTAAGTTTATGGTTATTGAGGATTTTTTTTAGTTTAGTTTTCAGAGATTTTTCCTTTTTGGTTATCATATTTTTTCATATTTCCCTGCTGTGAATGATGTGTGGTCTCTCTTTTGAGAAAGAGAGAGAGCGAGAACTGTTACTTACTTTGATTTGTGGTGCTTTGTCAACATTGGCGGTTGTCTTCTACTGTGGCTCGTGGCTGTATTTGTCATCATCATCATCATCATGATGGTGTTTGTACTGTATGTATGTACTCGTGAGTGTGCCGTGTTGTTGTAAGAAGTACGTTTTTGGTTTTCGTAAAGAGATTTACTCTCTCTCTCCTTCTCGTACCAAGAATTTTATGGCATTCTAAAAATAACTTTTCTGCTGCTGCTTCTTCTCGTTTTATGGTACTGCTGCTGCTGTTGTTGTTGTTGATGACGAGAATGTGGCCGGAGAGGAGAGTTAAATGTAAAGTTGTTGCTGTGTTTAGAGCCTCGTTCGTTCGTTTGTTTCTTTCGTTTTTTTTTGAGTATTTTATTTTTGTTGTTGTTGTTGTGCTGTTATTGAATTTGTTAGGTTTTTGCCTTCGTTTCGCCTTTGTTGTACGAATACGAATTTGTTGGCGTATTTCTTGTTGTCGAGTTTTTTGCTTTAGGGGATGCAAGCCAAAATTGTGCGGCAAATGTCTGAGCAATGTTTTTTTTGTGTGTTGGCTCACAAACACACGCACTCATATACGTAGAGAGGCTTGTTTTAGGCCTCTTCTTTTAAGACTGTGTGTTAAGTAGAATATTTCAACGTAATGAAAATTCAATTCAATTTGTTTGTTTGTATTTTTTTTTCTGTTTTTTGTTATGGCTGGATGGTTGGATACTGCCAGTGTTTTAATGTTGGTTATTTTTATTTTGGCTTGAATTTTGAGAGGAGTTTGGAGGTTGGTTTTTTAACGATTTTCCTCAGATTTTTTTTCTTTTTGGTATTTTTTCGGGGTATTCCTTTCTAAGTTTTGGTTTAGTTATGTTGTGGCAAATATTTGTTGGGAGTTTTTTTTTCTGTTTCGGGAAACACTTTTTTGTTTGGATGTTTGGGAAAAAATTTCGGCTTATATTTGTTTGAATATTTTCAATTATTATTTGGCGATTTTTTAGTTCATTTTAGGTGTTTTTTTTTCCAAATTTGGGAAATTATTAATTTCTTCACTTTTTGGCCAGAAAAGGTTTAAAAGCTTTTTGACCTTTTTAGATTTTTATTAGTTTCTATCGAACTACGTTTATGTTTGGAATCTATTTTTTCGATGATTTCCAATATTGTAAATTTATTATTCCTTCATTTCTGTTGGATATTTGTAGTTTGAGCAGAATAGATGGCGGAATTATTCTCAAAATATGGATTTTAATTTGAGTGTATTTTGAAATGAGGCCTTTCGTATTCGTTTCTGACAGAATTTCAGCCCTTACGGAGGATTTTAGGATATACTTTCAATGTTTTTTTTCTGTAATTTTTTTTATAAAATTTCTATTTTTTCCGGAAATTTCAATACAAATTTGAATTCGGTTTGGGAGATTTTATCCTGTGTGTTGCAAGTTTGGGTATCGAGTTCTTTGTCAAGGGAGGATTTATGGAATGTTTTTTTTTCAGTTAAATCGCATTTTCTTTCCCAACCTTCAGGCAGGTTGGGATATTCGTATTTTCGTATTCTAACTGAATAGATGTTTGGTGCTCGATTTGAGGAAGGTTTTTGTTGAAATTTGACTCAATCTAATCGGTTTTATTTCTCAATCTCGCCAAGTCAGTCAGGATATTCGTATTTTAAACAGAATGTATGGTGCAATCAGATCACTTTGTGTTTATTTTCTGATTTTGAAGATTTGCAGGTTTGCAAGCAACAGGTCTTTTTTAAGGGGCAATTTTGTGTAATTTTTATTCAGTTTTTTTTTTTCGATTTTAAATATTTTCCAATTTTTTTTTATAAATTTCACTGTTTTTTGTCTTTATGAATAGCTAATGGATTTCAAAACAAAAAGTCGTCGCTTTTTTTAAGTAATTTTTCCCCGTTTAAAATATTTCTTATATTGTTGTGATTTTTTGGGTTTTGAAATGGTTTTGGTATTTTTTTTTACAAAAAATTTATCTTTTAAAGTCTGAATTTCTCGCCGCCAAATATTTCAACAGTCCAATTATTCGATTTGAGAATTATCTTTATTTTTTTTTTCGGAAAAAAACTCATTTTTTCATGACAACTTGAGCTATTATTTTATATCCTTTGTTCATCGACAGTCCAAATGTGGGATTTTGAGGATTCTTGTCTATATTTTCTTTGCAGATTTTGGTTGATCTTTTTATATTTTCAAAGATAATTTTTGTTTTTGTTATTGGTATTGGTATTTTATTTTAAATCGTTTATCCATTGACAGTTCAATTGTCGGATTTGAGGATTCTTGTCCAGTTTTTCGTTGAGAATTTTGTTTCAATTTTTAGTTTTTTCTTTAAATTATTTTTCTTTCGGATTTTTATCCTTTGTCCAATTTTCGAATTTGGGGATTTTTTTAATTTTTTTTTTTTTTTTTTGGATTTTGTTCGAATTTTAATTGTTTTTCGAAAATTATTTCTGTTTTGGAAAAAAACTTCAATCTTTTATAAACAATTGAGTTGTTATGTCAACAATTTGACAATTTATGTCAATTTGGAAATTAGGAATTACTATTTTTGGCTTTGAGAATTTTAAAAATTCGTCCTTTAACACAAACTATTAAAATTTTCCGTTGAATCAAAAACTTGCCTTTTTGGAAAAGAATTTTAACCTTTGTCCAAATTTAGTGCGAAGTCCAAGCAGGGTTTAAAATTAACTTGAATTTTTAAAGAATTTTTCAAGAGTAATGAATTGAATCCTTTGATAATTTTACTCCTGATTAGCTGGAATTCTCGAATGTGATTGCTGGGTTTTAAGTCCAAATTTTGTGCGAAGTTCAATCCGGGTTTAAAATAAACTTGATTTTTGTTAAGGAATTTCAAGAGTAGTTATTTGAATCCTTTTACAATTTTACTCCTGGTTGGCTGGTGTTCTCGGAAATGGATGCTGAGTTTTTAAGTCCTTCGGGAATAAACCTTTGGTTTCACAATATAGGCTTTATGAAACTCTAGTTTTAAAGATATTGTTTGGCTGGTATTCTCGAATTTGGCTGCTGGTTTTAAAGTCCTTCGGGAAAAATTCTTTGGTTCCACAGTATTGGTTTTATGGAGCTCTTGCTCTGAAGATATTGATTATAATGTTTGGAGGTTTTGCCAGTTCAATTATTGTCGTAGTTTTGAAATACACAAATATTCTTCAGAGTTCATAAATTTAATTTTAAAGATCCTTTTATAATATTTTTTTAATAAATTTTGTTATTTTTTTTAATTATCGTTCAATTGATTTTATTTTGATTTTTTAATCAAATATTTTTGAAGAATTTCAATTTCTTCGAGTATTTTTTTTTTTGTTATTTTTTTTTTTTTAACAAAAGAAGTCCATGTTGAGTTTATTTTTTAATATTTAATTATTTTGTATAAATAATTGTTTAATATATAATATTTTTTTTTTTGTTATTATATTATATATTATTTTTTATTATTGATATTTTTCTATTAGTTCAATATTGTATATATTTTTTTCAATACAATTTTGTTCTTAAATTTGCCTTAGCACATTTTATTGTCACTGTTTTAACGAATTTTATTCGCGTTTAAAACGGTTATTGTCAAAGTTTTTTTTTTTAATTTTATTTACTTTAAATTTTTGATTTTATATTTATGATTTTTATATAAATAAACTCTTATATAAAAATGTCATGTTTTCAACTGTTATTGTCAAAGTCCTTAAGATTTTATTTTTTTTTTTATTTTATTTTTTTTTTTTTTAATAATTTATTCTATAATTTTCAGTTTTTTTATTACAAAAAATCCATGTGCAAATAACAAAGTGCAGTTATAAATTAAATCCAAACTCAAAATTTTGTTAAAGGCTTAGAATGTCACATTGTCAACAAATGTGGCACTAAATAATCCAAATACATACACATGTATGTAGCTATAAATATTTCAATATTTATATTATCATCAGAACACAAATTTATATTTTTGTTTTACAAATTAAATATTTTCACATTTTTGTTGAATTATTAATTTTTCTTGATTTCTTTTTTTTTCGTTTTTTATTTTCACCCTGCAGCTGGAATCATTATCCTTTTAAGTGGCTCTTTTATTTTTCATTTGCTTTTGCCCAAAATTATACATTATTACAATGGGGCGAAAAAAAACAAGGACCCCGTCACCAGAGAGAAAAAAAAACACTGACACACCGAACAGCCTTAGGACGCACGCACGTTTGACGGTAGAATTTTCGCTGGGCTTGCGGCCGCACAAAGAACAGAACATCAACTGAGCCAGGATGCGAGGAGTTAAAAAACAAACGCAAAACACACAAAATATTCAATAGCAGCAGCAGCAGCAAACACTGGCCATAGCCAAACGTAACATAATATAGCTTAACAATGTTCTGGGTGTGCAGCAGCACCGCACACACACATACACTCCGAAATCTATAGGCATGTAAAAACAGATTTTCCGGGGGAGAGAGACGCACGGGGAATCACAAAAAAATCACCATACAATGCAAACAGTTTTACTACTACAACAATTTTTGTTTTATGTTTTGCCAAAAACAACACAACAACTGTTTCGATGGTTGTCTGCTTCTTGGTCTTCCTCTTCTCTTTTTCGTTATGTTTGGATGCTGGGCCACATAGTATAATACTAGTAGTAGTACACACACACTCACTTAACAACAAGACAATATTATATATCTGTATACGTTTTGAATAGTAGCAATTCTGCACGTGGTTCGCTAGTCAATAAAAAAGTAGCTACAACGTCTACGACAACCGCCTACGCACTGCAACTGATTTTACATTGTCATTGCTTTTTAGCCAAAAAATCTGGAGGCATGCCATAGCAGACATCAGACACACATGCACACACTCTCATATACTCGCAGATGTGGAATATAAACACAGAGAGAGAGAGAGAGTAAAAGTAGGGAACTCTGTTAAGTTTCTCTTTTATCACAACATCACAATTTGTTTGTTGGTGCAATACATACAGTCTGGCTTTCTCTCCTCTCTCTTTGGGTTTGAGTTGGACGCTTAAATTCTCTTATGATGTTTTGTCCTCTCAAAAATTACACTCACACATTGACACTTTACCAGGCCAACAGTGTTGCTAATGGTTGTGTTAAATCAGGGGTGCTCAAAAAGAAATATCTCTTTTCAGTCAAATTTCTCTTTGCTTATTTACATCAAGAACAAAACAGTGTTAAGTCATTATTTATACAAATATTTTTTATCCATTTGCTTTATAAATTATTTTGGCAAAAATTCGTATTTAAAAACAATTAAATAGAACCGTAAAATATAAAGAAAAACAAAATTTTAATTTTCTCTTAAATTATCTCTTTTTTCTCTTCATGTTCTAGAACACGGTTTTGAGCACCTCTGGTTAAATACAGCGGTGCTCAAGAAGAAATATCTCTTTTCAGTCGAATTTCTCTTTGCTTATTTAAATCAAGAACAAAACAGTGTTAAGTCATTATTTATACAAATATTTTTTATCCATTTGCTTTATAAATTATTTTGGCAAACATTCGTGTCTAAAAACAATTAAAAAGAACAGTAAAATATAAAGAAAACCAGAATTTTAATTTTCTCTTAAATTATCTCTTTTTTTCTCTTCATGTTCTAGAACACGGTTTTGAGCACCGCTGGTTAAATATTAAAATGTAAACAAAAAGGGGGAAAAGAAACTCTCTCTCTCTCTCTCTCTCTCTTAAATTCTAAGAATATTTAAGAGCACATTTATGTAACAATCTCTTTGGTATTAGATGTTCAAGACAATAAGTCTTGAATATGTACTATTGATCAAACTGTTATAAAATCGTGATAAAGGCAATTATTTTATCAAATTAGACAATTTACTTACCAATGGTTTATATAAAAAGAGTTGCGAAAATTGTATAGACGTTGAAATCTGAAAAGAATTAGAAGAGGTTTTAATATTTTAATATTTATATATAAACAAGTAAATTAGTATCAGTCGCTTTTGCCGACAGATGTATACCCCTAGCCTTGAGGTATTATTATTCAAACTGTTGACCCTTTATGGGGGAGGTTTCGAAGCAGTTGGCTAATATTGAGTAATTCGTATCTGACCTAAGATTGATATAAATATTAAAACGTGACAGATTTGGACTATATGGACTACTTTCTGTAATTTATATGAGACATGTGCAAATTTTTGGAAAATGTGAAAATATACGTGAGGTAACAGACATAGCATACCGATTCCATATTCCATTTTTATACTTCATCTAATACAGATAAAAATATTGGTATGAGCAAAATTTAAAGGAAATCAAACATTTATATCCAATTTTATGCGGAATCATAAATTTCGATAAATTACATATTCATATCATATACATATCTGGTTAAGAGAAATATGTAGATATAGCTAGTTGTAAAGAATCGCCGACTTGTTTCGCAAGTTATGACATATATGACATATAAGTATTGGAAATTGTGACCCTTTGTGGGTGAGATGCCAGAAGGGTTTGGCAGATATATATCATCTTCACAACAGATCTTAGTTTAGTAAAAATATTTGGATGTGTCAAATTTGAAGAGAGTTGTATGCTTATTACGCGTTATTTGAGCGTTTTGTTTTTCAAAAACCTTAAACTCTATGTGGGGGGGTACCAGAAGAAATTGTCCTATATGTGCCATTTTTATAACTGATCTTGTGTTGATGGTAATATTGAGATGTACCAAGTCTGAATGAAATCGGATGTTAATTTCGTGTTTTATGAGCTTCATGGGTACTCAAAATGTTGACCCCTTGTGGGGGAGATACCAGAGGGAGTGGACTGATATATCCCATCTTCACACCAGACTTTGAATTAATAAAAATATTATGATGTGTGTAATTTGGAGAGAAATGGATGCTTATTTCGGATTTTATGATCGTTTTTGTTACTCAAAACTTTGACCATTTGTGGGGGAGGTACCAGAAGGATTGGTCTGATCTCTACCATCTTCGTAACAGAACTTGTGTTGCTAGAAATAGTGAGATGTGCCAAGTCTGAATGGAATCGAATGTTAATTTCGCGCTTTATGAGCTTTATGTGGGGGAAGTACCAGAAGGAGTGAACCGATATATGCCATCTTCATACCAGACCTTGGGTTAATAAAAATATTATGATGTGTGTAAATTGAAGAGAGCCGAAGGCTTATTTCGGTTTTTATGATCGTTTTAGTTATTCAAAATTTTGAACCTTTGTGGGGGAGGTACCAGAAGGAGTGAACCGATACATCCCATCTTCACACCAGACCTTGGGTTAATAAAAATATTGTAATGTGGGTAATTTGAAGACAATCGGACATTTACATCACATTTTATAAGAGTTATAATTATTCAAAATGTTGACCCTTTGTGGGGGAGGTACTGGATGGAGTGAACCAATAATGTCCATTTTCGCACCTGCTGTAACACTCATTGGAATATTAGGATTTGCAAAGTTGGAGCAAATTTGGATTATCCTTTCTGTACAGTAAGTTATTTTCTTGGAAATTTTTGATATTTTGTGGGGGAGTTATTAGAAAGAGTGTATCGATATTGCCATCTCCGAACTCGATTTAAGTTTGACAATAATTTTACGATGTACAAAGTTTAGATCAAATCTGCTACTCCCTTCGAGAGTTGGTGTGCGCACCAGTCAGAGAGACAGACGGACGGACGGACATCGCTAGATCGACTCCAAATGTCCTGAAACGGATTTGGTTCACAGAGAACTAGGGTCTAAACCCGTTATATCGATGAGTCACTTTTTGGCCGTATCTAAATTATTCAATTAATATCTGGGAATGCAAACGGTGTATATATCTAAAAAACTATTACAGTTATCGGAAAACTGACAGGGAATTCTTGAAGGGCATACAAGAAAGCCTCAAAAATTATTTTTATCTCAAAAAATGAAAATTTGTGTATGGAACACTTGAACATGACACCGTCGCCAAAGTCGACTGATACCGTATGACTTGTTTCATAAATGGATCAATCCAATTCCTATAAAGGAGAGCAAAAATATACACCTCTCTTTTAACATTATGAAATTCGTTAAGAGACCAGCAATCACTTTATGACAGTTCCATGCTCTTGTATTAATATTTCTCTTTTTCCATAGAGATACACACACACTGTTACCGACAAATCAGAACAAACTCCTTTTTTCGCCCAGTGAAAGTAAAAGTTTAATCGCATTTCTTCGAAAAAAAAATACAAAAAAGAAAATATGGCAGTTATTGATTGCTTCATTACAAATACAGGCACAAAACTGTTACAAACCCTTTGCTGTAACGAAAAAACTGTTAATTAACAG